GTGGGAAGTTATGAAAGAAATCATTAGTAAAAATAAAATAGTTTCTGACATTTTACCCTCCTGAATAAAGGAAAATAATATTGAGTAAAAAAACAAAAAAGATATATCAAAAATATTCAATCATTTTTTTGTAAACACTGGTCTAAACCTGGCATCAAAAATAAAAGGCTCAGAAAAATTGTTTTTAAATTATTTTAGTGACTTTGAGAGTTCATTGCCAGATAGTAATGTAACTTTTGATGAACTAAAAACAGCAATCAAATAAATCAAAAAGAATAAGGCCCCAGATATTGACGACATCTCTGGCAATATTGTACTTTATGTTTTTTCTACAATAAAAAGGCCTATTTTTAATATCTTCAGCTCTTCAATTGAAAACGGAATTGTCCCAGACAAATTAAAAATAGCAAAAGTTGTACCTATATTTAAAGGTGGAGATACATCTGCTACAAGCAATTATAGACTAGTTTCTCTCTACTTTCTAAACTCTTTGAAAGTATAATTCTTAATAGACTGTATAACTGCTTAATAGAACACAGAATCATTGGCGAAAATCAATACGGGTTTCAAACTCAACATTTAATGGAACATGCTATTTTAGATCTCATTAGTATCATTAGCACTTCCTTTAATGATGAAAAATTTATATTAGGAGTCTTTATTGATCTTACAAAGGCGTTTGACACAGTAGACCACGCAATACTACTAAAAAAATGGTATAATATGGGATAAAAAATCAAACTATAAAATGGTTTGCTAACTACCTAGACAACAAACAACAATATGTTACTATAGATCACTTTAACAACTCAAAACAACTAAAAATCAAATTTGGGATCCCTCAAGGATCTATTCTAGCTCCTCTTCTATTTTTAATTTACATCAACAATCTCCCTAAAGTCCTCCAGAAAGATTGCATAATTTTTTTCAGACAACATTAATCTGTTTTATTCTTCAAGCTTGTCAAGTGACCTTGCAACTTAGAACTTATCAACTGCAAACTTAGAACTTATCAAACTTAACACACGGTTCAGAGCTAACAAATTGTCATTAAACTTAAACACAACTAAATACATCTTATTTCATTCCAACCAAAAAAAAAGCTACCCCATAAATTTTACCAACTCTTAGTATAAACAACACAATTATTGAACGAACTCAATTATCTATATTTCTTGTTGTGCTTCTTAACGATAATTTATCATGGAACTCACACATAAATACCATAAATACAAAAAAGCAAGAAATTATTTATCGTTCGAAAATTTAAAACTTCTTTATTTTTCCTTTATACACAGCTATCTATCATATGCCAATATAGCATGGGCAAGTACTCATAAAACTAAATTGGGTTCTCTCGATAGACGGCAGAAACCCGCTTCAAGAATTATATTATATAAAGACAAGCTTATTCGTGCAAACCCATTACTAAAACAGATGAATGTTTTAAACATTTACCAAATCAAAATATATCAAAATATTTTGTTTATGTTCAAACATAAAATGGGAACTGTTCCAAGTCAATTTATAAATAGCATTTTTAAAACTAATATAAGTAAATTTAGCATTGAGCAACTGGAAACTATATAATATCTTTGAAAAAAAGAAAACTATCCCAATACTCTATAGCATATTGTGGTTCTTACCTGTATAACAAATTAATACCAAAAATAAGATCCCTCCTGAAAAATATAAATATAAACATGGCCTACTTTATTTATACGGCCGGATATTTTACATTTTGAAGAAAAAAATAGAAGGCCAGTTTTTAAAATCGTAATGTTTCAAAAATTTAATACGTTTTGAACATTTTCAATATTATTTTACTTTCTACATTTAAAAAGTCCACAAAAGTTGTATTTATTCATAATTTTAGATATTAAACGAACATTTATTAAGAAATAAATAGTGTTTATTTTAAAATTTAGTATTAGTAAAAACGATGTAAGAAACAAGAACAGTTATAAAAAATATTTAAATGTTTCTCTTTTTTCATTTAAAAATAAAATAATTATATATAATTTATTAAATTTTCTCAAATTTTCTCTTTTTAAAAGATTTTACATGATCAACAGCTACTTCACTGGTAGAGATAATTCTTTTATTATTAAGAAAAATGTTAACAACAATTCTTCCAGCAAGTTTTATCCCAGTTTTCTTATGCATGAGACAAGAAAAAGTCTGAAAAGAGTCATAAAAGTGGTTTAACAAATATTCTAAAGCTTGTCGCGCATGTAAACTAAATTTCTTTATTTTTTTATAAAAGTAGTCAATCATAGCAAAGGATGTGCAAACATAATCCAAAAGTGATGGTGAAGGAATAGTGAGACCACCCCTAGAAATAATTGTTAAATAAGTATGATCAGGATTGCTTTCATCAATATTGACACAACATAAAAATTCTTTACAACATGTACCAAAACGTTTTTTAAGTTTCTTTGCTATATAACCAGCAATATGAGCACCTACTTCCCTACTTTCTGGTGCAAGTGTCATGATTTCTGGAGTACACTGAGCTTCATCAATATCAAGAAGAAAGTTTTTCCAATCTGTTAAATTATTTTCTGACTCAGGCACTTTTAAACTATCATCGAAGTTAATACTTTCTTTAACTATACTTTTGATTTTTAATATTTTTTCAGAAATAGTGACATCTTTTAAACCTACCAAAAATCTTCCACCGCTCATTTGTCTATATTGTCCAAATCTCCTTTCTAATGGGTCACTTTGAAATCTCGCAGTTAAAACAAAGTGATATCCATCATTAAGCAAGTCCTCGATCAATGAGGCATGACTATTAAGTGTCTTATTAGTGCTGCAGCTGTCTGAACACTTAAAGTAAACTTCTCACAGTTTGGTATCTTTTGTGATTGCCAAACTTCAATCCAATGTGCCATTTCCCGAAGAAATTCAGGTTTTTTATCACCAGAAACGACTGCATTACCTAAAATATTACATGCTGAATACTGACATTTAGAATTTGATAAAACCCACCACTTGTTAAACAATGTAAGAAAATCTGCGCTACTTTTAAGATCTGGAAAATATGAGTGAATCGCTGCTGATGTAGTTTCATCAAAAATTGCAAGTGCTAAAGAAACATTTTGTTTAAAATTGCCAGGATGTAACACTTTCATTGTTATTTTTGGTGCTTTACGCAAACCAGCATCAAGAGTGAGGTCTTTTTCATAAATATTGTGGAAGGTACTCCATTTAATTTCTCCCCCACATACAATTATAGGATCTTTAAATCCATTAAAGTTAAAATCTGGAAATAAAAATCTTTTGCAATTTAACAAATTATTTCTGATGTTTTTAATAAGATGTACAACATCAAAACAGAGGTAAATTTTTTTTAGATTGTAAATAAAAAACAAATCTTCAGCTTATTGATTCGATGCACAAAGGATTTTTTAAAACAAGAAACATTAGCAGAATGGTTGTCACACACAATAACTCTAACAGTAGTAAGAGATTACCAGTTCTAGCTTATTTTTTATTTTCAACCAAATTTTCAACCATAAATTAATATTAATATTGGGGTTAACATTGAACCATGTTGTATATAATTTATTTAGATAAGAAATAATTTTTTATTTTAAAAAAATTGATTTTTTTAAAATAACTGTTAAATTTTATTTCTTGTTATGAAATATTACGAAAAATTCTTAAAATGACGTCACGTGACTTTTCCTGCTTCTTATTTACACCCTAATTCATGCAAGTATTTTAGCAATTCAAGGTTGCCATTTTCAACAGCTTTTTCAAAAGCTTGGCCAAATTCAAATTCTGAAGCTCTGTACCCTAATTCATGCAAGTATTTAATTAATTCAAGGTTGCCATTTTCAACAGCTTTTTTAAAAGCTTGGCCAAATTCATATTTTGAAGCTCTGTACCCTAATTCATGTAAATATTTAATTAATTCAAGGTCGTCATTTTTAACAGCTTTTTCAAAAGCTTGATTAATTGCGTATCCTGAAGCTTTTTGCATTAATTCATTAAAATATTTAATTACTTCAAGATTTCCACTTTCAACAGCAGAATCAAATGTATGTTCTGAACCTTTATACCCTAATTCAAGTAAAAATTTTATTATTTCATTATTTCCACTTTTAACAACATAATTAAATTCAAATTCTGAAGCTCTATACCCTAATTCATACAAGTATTTTAGCAATTCAAGGTTTTTATTTTTAACAGCTTTTTTAAAAACTTGATCAAATTCAAGTTTTGAAGCTCTATACCCTAATTCATGAAAATAATTTAGCAATTCAAGGTTTTTATTTTCAACAGCTTTTTCAAAAGCTTGGCCAAATTCAAATTCTGAAGCTCTGTACCCTAATTCATGCAAGTATTTTAGCAATTCAAGGTCGTTATTTTTAACAGCTTTTTTAAAAACTTGATCAAATTCAAGTTCTGAAGCTCTATACCATAATTCATGAAAATAATTTAGCAATTCAAGGTTTTTATTTTTAACAGCTTTTTTAAAAACATCATCAAATGTATCTTCTGAAGCTCTATATTCTAATTCATTTAAAAACTTCAACATTTTAATGTTGTTATTTTTAGCAGCTATTTCAAAAGCATTATCTACACTTCTTTTTTTTGATTGGATTAAATATTTAATCAAGTCAATTTTTCCTATTTTTACAGCAAAATAAACTTTATTACCTTTTTTATACCCATATTTTTTTAGATTATCATTTAGATCATAATCAATCATACCATCTTTATCTTCATCATATTCATCATCACTCATGTCATCATCATTCATTTTATCATCTTTATTAATCATTTCATTTTCATTATATTCATCATCAGTCATTTCAATATCATGAATATTAATAATATTTAATTTTTCTTCAACTAATCTTAATCTTTCATTTATTGATTTTAAAAATGAATTTTGCATTTCGTTTTCCATTCTTTTTATATATAAAAGAAAAATTATTTAAATCATTTTCAAATTTTTTTTTATTTTTAATACGCATGCGCTAGATTTACTTAAATATAGTAGTCTCATCATATCCAACAGAACGTAAATATTTAAATACTTCAATGTGATTCTTTCTTGCAGCATAATTAATTGCATAATCATCACCTTTATACCCTAATTCATGTAAATATTTAATTACTTCAAGATGCCCATTTGTAGCAGCATTATCTATTGCATCTTTTGTTCCTTTATACCCTAATTCATGTAAATATTTAATAATTTCAAGGTGACCATTTCGAGCAGCTTTATTTATTGCATATTCTGTTCCTTTATACCCTAATTCATGTAAATATTTAATAACTTCAAGGTAACCATTTCGAGCAGCATAATTAATTGCATCTTTTGTACCTTTATACCCTAATTCATGCAAATATTTAATAATTTCAAGGTGACCATTTTTTGCAGCATTATTAATAGCATATTCTGTACCTTTATACCCTAATTCATGTAAATATTTAATTACTTCAAGATGTCCATTTGTAGCAGCATAAGCAATTGCATTTGTAGTTACTTTATATCCAAGTTCAATTAATTGTTTTATCCAATCAAGTCTATTATTACTTGCAGCAAAGTCAACTTTATTACCTTGTTTATACCCATATTTTTTTAGATCAGCAGTTATAATATAATTAGCATCACGTGCAATTCTCCTAGCATATTTCTCTTCATCATCAGTCATTTCAATATCATGAGTATTAATATTTAATTTTTCTTCTATTAATCTTAATCTTTCATTTATTGATTTTAATAATTCTTCAATTTTATTTTCCATTCTTTTTATATATACAAGAAAATTATTTAACTCATTTTCAAAATTTTTTTTATTTTTTAATGCGCATGCGCTAATTCTTACTGTATTTTCTTTTTAAATCCTATTTTACGTAAATATTTGAGTTCAACTGTATCTTTTGAACATTTATAACCTAATGATTGTAAATACTTGAGTACTTCATTTAATTCCCAATTTGTTCCTCTATATCCTTTTGAATGTAAATATATGAGTGCTTTAAGACTTTTACTTATTTCAACGAAATCAAGTGTATCTTTTGTACCTTTATAACCTTTTGAATGTAAATATTTAATAATTTCAATGTCTCCATTTAATGCAGCATAATCAAATGCATAACTTGTTCCTCGATATCCTAATTCATGTAAATATTTGAGTGCAGTACGATTTTTATCTCTTACAGCTAAATCAACTGAATCTCCTGAACATTTATAACCTAATGAATGTAAATATTTTATTTTTTCTTTATCATCTTCAATTTTTCTTTCTAATTCCATTCTTTTTTATATACACAAGAAAATTATTTAAATCATTTTTCTTGTTTTAATGCGCATGCGCTAGGATTTACTTAAGCATAGTAGAAGCATTGTCCTATCAGTGCAGCATAGCTTCCAGATTGTCCAACTTGTGCATCACCAGAGTTGAGTGTCACTACCATTCTTCTACCTATACCAACGCTAGGCATACTTTCAGATGAATTAAAGTTTCTATAAAATGAAATTGTAGTTGATGGACCAATTATACTAGTTGATTGATTCAACAATCCTGATACTTCATTATTAAATGAGCTTACATTAGATCCATTCCATGAAGAGAGATAAAAATCTTCTAAACCTGATGAAGCGTAGATGCATCGACTGTTAACATCATATCCAGAAAATGTAGTATATCCATTATTATTATAAGGTGTCCAAGGTTGAATGACAGAGTTAGTATTGGTAGGAGCACCATATCCATCATAGATGCGAACTCTAGATTCCCACCAGTCTCCAGATCCTCCAACAACATGCATTCTTATGTATTTCAAATACACTCCGTTTCCATTATCCATAACATTCATTAGCATATATTCACTACCATAAGTTGTATTTACATATCTAAATGTTGATGAGTACAACTTAATGGATGAGATAGATCGAGGTATTAGAGGATTAATACTAGTTAATGCTTGTTGAAACGATGAAGTTCTTGTGATAAAAGGTTGCAACCAAAAGGTCACTGAATTTCCTGTTTTATTGTATAATTGTATATTCAAACTTGATGTAAAAGGAAGATCAAATGTAAAATATCCTCCTAATGCACTTGTACTAAATACATTACATCCTTGTAAAGAGTTTGCATAATAGGATCCACCAAGTGGTGCAATTAATAAATCACAAGCTAAAGCTGTATTATTAACACCTACACCATCTGTTACAATAGAATCATTACCTATGCAAAGTACATTGTCAGCATATATTTTTAAAAACAAGTTACCTGGTACTGTATTAGGTGCAATAGTAGATCCTGTAAATGCAATCCACAGTTTTTTTAGAATTCCTGAACTACCACTATAGCTAAAAATGGTATATGATCCTGGAGTTGCATAGAATGCTTGAGATTTTTGTCCAAGGCATATTAAACTTGTATTGGGAATGATATCTAAACTTTGATTTTGCATATCATCAACGTAGCTCTTTGTAACAGCATCTTGTGCATCAGTAGGATTAGCTACATTGATAAGTTTGTTTGTATTTAAATTTATATTAGCAGTTGCAGGATTATAACCATCAGTTCTTAGATATAAATTACTAGAAATCTGATTATTATCGACATAATGTTTTGTAGCTGCATCCTGTGCATTAGTAGGATCAACTACATTGATCAATTTATGTGAATTCAAATTTATATTAGCACTCATACTATTAGTTCCATCTAATTTTAGACATGCACTGCTAGAAGTTTGATTGTTATCAACATAATACTTTGTAGCTGCATCTTGTGCATCTGTAGGATCAGCTACATTGATTAATTTATGTGAATTCAAATCAACATCAGTAGTGGCTGTATTGCCAACATTAATGTTGATATTTAATCCATCTGTTGTGTAACCATATAATGAATTACTACCGGCTATATTCATACTCATTTTTTTATATACTATATTTTTTTTTAATTCAATATAATGAGTTTTCAATACTTTGAAAATCAACACCTTCATTTAATTTTTTTAATACATAAAGACACAAGTGTCCGCAAAAAGAAGTGTCTCCAAACTGAATTCTTTTACTATTATAATAAACAGGACTGTGTAAATATTGAACAAGTTCAACTGGAGGTGGTAGTGCATAAGAATCAAAACTTAATTTTTCTTCTCCATCTTTATACCAACAAATCCAATGAAATCCATTCGTACTTGAATCTCCAGTATTTAATATTCCACATTCTTTGTTTTGTGTATTTTTAGGTAATTCATCTCTTACAAATACACCTCTAAAATTTTTAATTTTTAATTTTTTTGCTGCTTTTATTAATTGAAAGTTTGTTAAGGGTACATTTGGCAATATAATTCCTTCAACATTGATATGTTTGTCCATTTTTATTACTTTATTAGATTTTTTTAGATCTTTTTAAGATATAAAAAATAACTTACCTGTTTGCCTGCCTGCCTGTTTGCCTGCCTGCCTGCCTGCCTGTTTATTTCCAATCAATCTGAAATGAAAAGTTGGGTTTGTCAATTATTTCACTTTCATTCCAATCAATCTGAAATGAAAAGTTGGGTTCTGAAGGAACCAATGTTTTACTTTTTTTTAATTTATAATGTCCATATGCTAATGTGTGAATACCATCTTCTTGAATTACTCTTTTATCATCTTCTGCACTCAATGCTATTTTGTTTATTTCTTCAGTATAAACATCATGTAAATGAGATCTTATGACATTCATTTTTCTCATTTGATCTTTCTTATTTATAAGGCAGTCTTTATAATCTTCATGTGTAATATAATTTTTTACTACATTTCTCTTTACTCCTTTACATCTCTTTTTATCTTCTTCAACTATTTTGTAAGAATACAACTTTGATCTGAGTCCAATAAATTCCGTAATTTGTTTTCCTGCTGATTCATCTTTAAACATTCCTATTACTTTCTTATTTACACCAACTTTAAATCCATTTTGAACAGCTGGATGATCTTTATTAAATTCACTTGTATCAAATTTACTTTCAATATCATTAGAAATATCTTTATAAAAATCTTCTGTTTTTATTTCATAGATTAATGAATCTGTATCTGTATATAATAGTTTAGCTTTATCTCCATATTTATTTTTCATGTAATCATAATGAAATTCGTACATTAGTGTTTTGCTCAAATCTAAAATACACATACCCAAGTAAATGGGTTTGTTATAAACTAGTTTTGTTCTTTTCATATGTATTGCAATTAAATTATCATCAAATATCGTTCTACTTTCATAATTTGGTTTTGATGATAATTTAATAGCTTCTTCTCTTTTAGAAACTAATCTCACATCAACTCTGTTTTCAATGTTCTCCATTGTCTTTCCAAATACTGAATTGTTCATAAGTTTGAAAAAGTCTTTTTCAAAATCATTTGTTGCTTTTGTTCTTAGATCTGTATTGAGTTCAATGTATTAACTTAACCATGCACTTTCTTCAAACTTTATTCCTCTGTGAATTTTTGTTATTTTCATTCCTAATCTTTCATATAGTTTTAAGTTTTCATAGTGAATGATATAATTTTTCTTATGATTTAAATTAGGTATTAATTTATCAACTTTGTCTATTTTTAATCTTTCAGGGGCTAGAGGATAATCATTATGAGCATCATGTAAATACTCAGGATATTCTAAATCTACATCTAATATGCAAGAAGTAGATTTCCAATTTTTTAATTCTTCTTCATCCATCCATTCAAATCCATGTGTTGGAAGGGGCTTGCTCATTGCCCACCCATATAAATTATTTGCATCTAGATACTGTATGTAAGTAGATTCTTTACTTTCATCATAATTTTCAATATATTTATTGTTAGCAGTTCCTAACCTGTTAGAAACCATACTAATTCCACCTCTTATTCCTTCTTTTATCATTAAGATCATATCATAATCACTTAATAATTCTAATTTTACTTCTGTTATTTTCAACGCAGCATCCCAAGCTAATCCTGGTGATGTATAGTACCAAGCAGGATCTAATTTATAATTGTTAAAACAGACATCTCTAAAATTCTCAAAGACATCAGCTAGTAGTAATACATCAGATTCGTTATATAAATTATGGTAATCTCTAAATGTTTTACATTGAAACTTTTCCCATACATTTTGTGCATGTAAATAATCTTCATCACTTATTCCTTCATCATTTAATCTTGAATAAAATGATTCTTTTGGTGGTAATTGTGTTTCATTTAATTTATCAATAGAGTCAACCCATTCATAAGGATAAACACCTTTTCTTAACAATAAATTGAGTTCATTTCCAGAATAGTATTTACTCAAATTTTTACATTGATCTTTTGACAAATTTTTAGTTAAACTATCTAAACTAGCAGCCATAAATTTAAAACTATCGAGAAAACGTAGTTGTAGTTTAACTTCAACTTTTTTACCTTTTCTATTCATAAATTCATTTACTTTAAGTTCTTTAGAAAAGCTGATATATTTTTCTTCATTGTTAGGAATGCAATTTAATTTTCCTCCTTCTGATTTTCCTCCTTCTGATTTTCCTCCTTCTGACAATTTCTTTATGAACAAGTGAGAGTCATAACCAGATAAATTGTGAAATAGTACTGGAATAAATTTTGGAATTTTAAATTGTAAATTACAATCACTATGTGCAGCACCTCTATATTTTCCAGTAATATGACAATGATCTCGTACTTTATCAT